TTTTGTCATCACAATCATTGTATCATTGTATTCATAGGCACGCGCACGGGGTGTTCCAGGTGTGCCTAAGCACACCCTAATCACCCCCATGCACACAGGGCTGGGTATCTCTGGGAACAGACGCAGTTGCTGCCGCCTTCAGGATAAAAATCTCTCCCTATTGGTCATGACGGGGGGCGGGGGGGGAAGAACAAATTCTGCTCTTTGATAGGTCTTTGTCCTCTTCCTCGTCTGGATTGCTGGGAAACTTTGACGATGCTAATACGCACAGCTCAGCGGTGTCACCAGCAGAGAGCAGCTGGGGAGTGAGTGATGGGACCAGCAGGACTCCCAGCCATGGACATGGACTACAGGAACCTCAGGGAGAAGGAGCTGCCACCAGGTAATAAAAAATCACTGCACTCAGACACTCGCCCGTCCCACTCACCACTGGAAAATGTGTGTGTAAGAAAATATATATCTATCGCGTGTGTTTGTGCTTTTGGGTGCACACCCTAATATAGTAAGCTGCGCCCGCCTATGGTTGTATTCTGTTAGGCATGGGTTCACACCCAGGCGTATCGAATATGCGCGTTTGTCGCGGTTTCGTGGCGCGCGTTTTTACCGACAAACGCGCATTTCTGAGGGCTACCTGGCTGTATCCCAATGGATACATGCGGCAAATACGCCCCAAAGAAGCTCCCTTACTTCTTTGGGCGTAAAGCGTTTTGCAGCATGTTCCTACGTGCTGTAAAACACCCAGGTGGGAACCATGCCCATAGGCAATCATTGGTTTTCACATGTTGAGCGTTTTACAGAGCGTAGGAACGCGCTGTAAAACACCCAGGTGTGAATCAGGCCTTAATATCCAACATACAGCCATAGCTTGTAAACATAATAATATACACAAGAATAATGTAATATACTTTGTGTCTCTGTGTGTAAGGGTTTTTAAGTGATTTGAAGTTCTTCATCTTGTACGTTGCATTTATTTATTTACTCACTCTACTTCTTGATATGACCCATGTCTTAGAAACCTCAGCGGGGTCATAAGACAATGCTTCTGGCACATCATGTTTCTGTTCTATGTTGTTATGCACTTTTCCAAAAATAAAATTGTAGGGTTGTTCCTGGCTTTTGTTGCTACGGTGGAAAAATATTGGCCTTGCTGAAACTGTGTTCTTTACTGCAATGTAGCACATATGTCTTCCTGCCTTTAAAGTTTGCTCTGTCAGTACAGTGGCCTCTTTTTAATAAATTAACTTAACACGTGCTATTAATAAATAAGGACTCTGAACACCATGTTCTGGTGTTAGTGTCCGTTCTGGTATAAGCGACAGTAACAAAAGTAATGTAATTTATTAAACAGTAGAAAAGTGAATAAAAATTGTGTGTATATGGGTTAGTGTTATTGTATTCAAAAAGTATGAGTTTTTTATGCACTGCTTTTCTCAATACATCACTGGAGATGAACCACTGCGCTCATGCAAAGGGCAGTGGTCCTTGTGTTCACTCTGCCTTGGGGATTCTTATTTATTGGAGGAACAATAACATACCAAACCAAATGTAGGCCATTTATAAAGCAATGATTTTCTGCACCTTGTGTTGATATGTTTTGAAGAAAGCAACAACTGGGTTGTAAAAAAAGAATATGCACTAGGGAATAAATTGTATGAGAGTTTTAGGAAGACAGTTGTAAAAAACAAAAACATAATTGGTTGAGATGTGAATGGAACAAAAATTGGTACTTACCAGCAAAAGGGGGCTGCAGGCGCTCAGCAGTCTGGGTGTAGTGTAGCTAATTCATTATTGGGAATCTTGGACTGTTATTATTTTTTTTATTATTATAGGATTATTCTGATCAGCCCAAGGGGGTTGTGGGTGCAAGAAGGTCATGGGTGCTCTGAAGCACATACAGGTGAAACTCGAATAATTAGAATATCGTGCAAAGTTTATTTATTTCACTGATGCAACTTAAAAGGTGAAACTAATATATGAGATCGACTCATTACATGCAAAGCAAGATAGTTCAAGCCGTGATTTGTCATAATTGTGATGATTATGGCTTACAGCTCATGAAAACCCCAAGAACCCCAAATCCACAACCTCAAAAAAGTAGATTATTACATGCAATCAATAAAACAAGGATTGTACATAGAACAATATCGGACCTCTGAAAAGTACAAGCATGCATATGTACTCAGTACTTGGTTTGGGCCCCTTTTGCAGCACTTACTGCAATTACTTTTGCACGATATTCTAATTATTCGAGTTTCACCTGTATGTTAGCACAATATTGCCATATTAGAGTGAAACTGCCCTGATGGCAAAAACTGCAGAAACAGCCCCTATATAACCCCTCCTTCTCCCAGCAAGTCTTAGGCTTTTTTGCTAGTGTCCTGAGGCAATGGATGTCATCTGAGTTATCTGCCTTAGCCTGTAAGGAGCCTTTCCTAGCGTTTCAGAGTAATAAGGTTGTCCCTAGGTCTAAGATCTTCTTTTCCCCCCAAGATGGTTTCCTCTTTTTGCTTTATCAAGATCATTTTCTCCGTATATCCTGCTCCAAAAAACTCTGTAAACTTCTCTTCGTTGCCTGCATGTGGTACACGTTGTTCAAGTTTACCTCTCTGCTACTACCACTTTCTAAAACAGATTCCCTCTTTGTCCTTCCTGAGTGACCCAGGAGACCCAATCGCTCCACCATTGCTAGGTAGATTAGACAGGTCATCATTCAAGCCTATAGTTGAAATGATAGGGTTTCACCTTTTCCTTTTAAAGCTCACTATACTAGGTCTGTTAATGCTTTGTGAGCTTTTTAGCATCAGGCATCTGTTTCCCAGATATGCAAGGCTGCCAGCTGGTATTCTGTTCACACTTTCGTTAAGTGGATATTCAGGCCTCTTCTGATGCCAGTTTCGGGTCATCCATCCTTTTCGCCACCTGAGTATGGGCACCCAGACCCGCACAAATGTGCAGTTCGGGTGTGCATATGACAGCGGTTGGCCGCGTCCTCCCATAGGAAGAACAGGCTGCTACACGCAGCACCTGTCCCTCCCGGTAACAGCCCAATAAGGGTTTACACGCCACACGGACGTGTACGCCCCGAGTTAAAGCAGTGTGAATGAGGCCATACTCTATTGGGTGTGCAATTACGTTATTGGCAAATCAGTAGTCCCATTACTTAATTGCTCTGGTCCATAAGGGATTCCTAATCACTAGTTCTGAAGTGGTTAATAATCTCCATTTAGTATTATACAAAGAGTTCAGTTAACTCAATGTGACCTTGTCCTTGACAGTTACAGAAGAAGGGGAAAATACATGTGGGAATAAGTTATTGTACTGAATATTGCCGTAGGCATGAAAGTCTTTATTCCACTCTACAGAAGAATGAGATATGTAAATAAAATGCAAAAATCTTATATATTATTGCTGTCAATGGCAACATTTAAAAGTAGCTTTAAAACTGGTGTTAGGTATTTAAAGAAGAAAGACATAAAACATACAAACTGAAAATGGTGGTCAGTATTGGATGTTGGGGTCCATGTTGGGGTGGTGAGGGTGGTCAGTGTCGGGTGTTGGGATCCCTCTGACCAGCCGAGGACCCCAACACCTAATACTGATCACCCGCTACATACTCACTGACTCTGTGAGCATGTAGTGATTGGTCAGTATTTTGTGTTGGGGTCCTCGGCTGGTCAGTATTGGTTGTTGGGGTCCCCTGAGGTCCGTGAGGGTGTGGCAGGAGGTCGGCAACATATTAGCCTTACAGAGTACAGAGACATGGGGGCATGTTAGGGGCCCCAATGCCTGGCAAGGCCTGGTCCCTCAGTCCCCTAATTTGTGCATGTGGAGTTAATGTGGCGCAGTCACTGGAAGCATCCCTCCCCGAGGAATGATCTTGTGGAATCCCCCACCCTGTGAGGGGACCATTTGACCGTCCTGCCTCTCT